AACTGGACTGCCGCTTGTGGCAGTTATAAAAACAATAATTTCTGCTTTTATGCTATATCTAGTCCTTTTTTTTTATTTGCAATGCCGCTAGACAACTTCTACGCCTTGTGCTCTCGTTTTGTGCTACATCCTTATTATTCCTAAAATTTTTGTTTTGTATCAAAAAGGGGGAAAAATGTGTCTGAAGCTGTTTTGCATGAACGCAGGTTGCACCTTTGCTGTTCTCAAAACTGAAGTAAGTGGAAGAGGTTTTGTTGCTATTATCACCAAAATGATGGTTTGCTCCACTTTCTGACAAGACATCGGCATATGTTTATGTCTTATGATGCTGGTATGCTGCATGATTTTTTTGATCCAAGGTGACCTTGAGTTAAGCCACTAAATGAATACTTGTGTGGTTGCATTTGATACAGTTTAGGGTGGTAATTTTGTGGAACATTCATTACCTTTTTAAGCTACTTCATGGTGTTTTAGTGGTCATAACTGTACTTTAAACCAGGGTACAATCCAAGTTCTTTGACAACTCGTTTTTCGTTGTTTTAGTTTTTTCTTGCTCCATCCAATCCCTCACCTCCAAAAAAATCCCCCCCCCTCCCCCCCCCACAAAAAAAAAAAAAAACCCACCCACAGCACAAATGTTCTGGACAAGCAATACTAGAATGGAAATGGTATTGTTAACTTAAGAATAAAACGTTGCCAACCGGTTTCTTAATTGTAAATAATGGGCTTTGGCCCATACTTTCATGTCTAAACTCATGAAACACAGAGTTAAAAAAATATGGGTAATTTGGAAGTCGGTACAAAATTTAGACTTATTTAAGTTAAAATACATTAAAAAAAATTATTTGACTATAAGTGCATTTTTTTTGAAAAAGGACTAAAAAGATATTTATTACTCCATTACTTTCTCTCCTCTTTCTCTGTTACTCTTTCTTCTCAATTTTTTTTTTATCTATTTCTCTATCTTTCTTTCGTATTGATAATTTTTTTTAAATATGTAAAGATTTGATTTAATTTTTTCATCTCTCTCCCCTTATTTTTTTTCTCTCTCACTCCCTCTCCCTTTATTTTATTATTCTCTCCCTTTTTCTCCCTTCTTATATTAATGTTACATAACACAATTACATTAATTAGTTACACCAATTAGTTACAATTACCTTATAATACACTAAATAGTTACTCATGTGTTTTAATAAAACAAACAATTATACGAAATTACAACACCAACTCAATTTTTTATTTTATTATTTATATAAATCGAAGAGTTACACCATTTAGTATTACGACATGATTATACTAATTATATACACAAAATTGAGTTTATCATTATATAAAAGATTTTACCATTATACAAATTTGATATATATAATTGGTGTAACGATATTGCGATACTAAATAGTGCAACTGTTTAGTTTATATAAACAATTGAATGACAAAGTTTGTTTTAATTTGTATAATTTGTGTAATTGTTTTGTTTATTAGAATGCATGAGTAACTGTTTAGTATATTATAAAATAATTGTAATTGATTGATGTTACTGATTAGTGTAATTGTGTTGTTGTATTGTTGATATAAATAGAGAGAGAAAAAAAATAGGGAGAGAGAGAGAAATGGTTACAGAAAATGAGGGGGAGAGAGATGAAAAAATAAATCAAAGTTTTACATATTTGAAAAGAAAATAAATTATTAATGATAAATATAGAGAGAAAATGGAGAGAGACGAGGAAAGTAATGAGGAAAGAGAGAGATGAAGAGAAAATAGAAGAGAGATAATGAGAGAATCTAATGAAATTTTTACATTTTTGATTAGATACATAACTGACAATCAAAAATGTATAATTTAAGGGAGGATATTTAAGTAAAACAATTTTGATTTCATTTAAATATTGTACTTAAACACAATGGACTCGTTAGGTTGCCATATTAGAAATAGATAGATTAGATAAAGTAATACAAGCTAATAGAATATTGATGGATAAAATACAAGATTAAATGGGGTATTAGAATAATAAGTAATTTTATCTAGTATTTGACATACACAATATAAGCGTTGGATAGTAATTATTTAGTCTAATCCATTGTTTGGTTAGAGAATTATTATATCGTATTAATGTTAAATTAACAAAAATGCCCTTAATCAATTATAGTGTTTGACACTGCCAACAATATGGATGATATCATGATCCCTTCGAAATGCCATCATCGTTAATCGAGAATATGATCGAGATTTACCGTTATTATCAAAAAGATCAAGTTTATTCATTTTATAGTTACAAAAAAAAATTCATTAAGTTAAACAAAATTCCATTGAGGTAAAAACAGTAATAATTAAATTGGTCAATTAAATTGCAACTAATTGGTCAACTAAATTGCAACTAAAATGAGTGCACATGAACCAAAATGAAAATTTGCAGCTATCTTAACCCAACATGAGCATCAAATAACCACAACAGTTGGAAAAAGAAAACTAAAACAAAAAGTCTAAACAAAGGGGAAAAAAATGAAGTTGGTTCCTAGCTTTCTCAAGAGTGTTTTCACCGTGTTCCACAATTCACACCAACGCCACACCACTAATGATTTCCCAGCAAAAAAAATTGGGGAACCGTCCCACCTTCAACCATAACGATGAGAACACCCAACCTCGCTGCCTCTAAACCAAACCGTAACTGCTATAAGCTACTCCAACAAAACCAATAAAATTTAGAAATCAATACATCACTGAACCACCAGCCCCACCCCACCACCACCACCGTGTAGCCGCCTCCAACAAGAAATCAAAAAACGAAAAGGAAACATGCATACATAAATCAAAACGCTGAAGAAAAAGACACCTTACCTCGCCAAGACCTCCGGTAGATAGCAGCCGGTGAAGAACAATGGGAGTGAGAAACGTGCATATGACAAAACATATTTTACGTTGAAAATAAGTTGATTTGATTAGATATGGGAGTTATAGTAGTAATTTTGTAAAATAATACATTAAGGTGGATTATAAAACTACATCTTCTGTTGGTATTAAAATACCTCCATAATACATGTGTGTTACGATAAATATATGATTAGTATACGTTTTTGAACTTAATATAAATTCAAAATTGCTTACCAAACAAAGTATTAGACCTGATTAAATAAAAAATTGTGCAATCCAATATTTAATCTCCTCGTAATACGTCTACTAAACGAGCCCAATATGTTTTATTAAAATTAGACTTAATAAAATAAAAAACTTATTCATACACTTTTCCTCAAATAAGTCTAAAAAATTATACCCGCAACAAAAAAACCCAAAAAACATTTTCATTCCGGTGATCATGACATTGAAACGCCAGTCTTCTTCTACAATGGATCCAAATGAACAAAGGCTGTTCACTTTTTTCTCGTTCATCTATGGAGAAGGGGCTTAAAACCATGAAGCTAGAAACAACACAATATATGCATCTAGTATTCCATGAGAAAGATATTGGTGAAGGGTGATGTACACAAAACTACACTCTGAAAACACAAACCTCTTGTGGTACAGGTAAGAACCATCCATTAGGCCAGGGAGGACGGACTTTGAGCATGATATAAAATCGGTCTATTTTCGGCATCGTATCCATAGTTAACGCATTTGCTCTATTGCTACATCTCTCACTTGTGCAATTAGATTGAAGTTGTCGTCTGTGGGCGCTTGAACACAACGCTGCTGCTAAATTCATTGAGCACTACCCCAATTCCAGCAGCTAGCTCTAAGATGGTCTTTCAGGTGGTGAGCGTTCCTGAGGCATTTTTGGTCTTCTATATGTAATACTCCATAACCTTTTCGATTTAGGGTATACCAGAAGAAGATCAAAGCACGAGCGTTTCGGCTTCCCATAGATCTTCTGTATAACACTTTCACCTAATATAGATCACCAGTCCTAACCACAAAACCAATATGCTTTCTAAGATAACATACTAACGGGCGCTTCATGCGATGCACGAAATTTATTTTTCTTGTCATTACCTTGTTTCACCCTTTTTTATTCCGCATATTACTCAAAAATTACTCATTAATGAATTAAAATAATATTTGTTAAATGTGAAAAAGTGAAGAAGAGATGAGGAAATATTTAAATTTGAAATAGTTTTAAAAAATAGTGGGAGTAGTTACAAAAAATTGAGGAAGTAGTTAAATAAGCCAAATAAAATAATTTGATTGGAAAGTGCCTAATTAAATATGAGTAATACTACGTTGACTTAAAAAATAGATTTAAAAATTAGACTTTATCATCTCAATCATTGAATAAGTAATAGGTCCCAATAAATGCTGGAACCCACAATAAAATTAATGGTTGAGATTATCAAGTCTAATTTTTAAGTTCATGTAACATTACTCATTAAATATTTCAAAAAACTAGAAATTAAGTATTTGAGGAGGAAATATTTCTCAAATTGACCGGACTAGGGAGGGTGTGTGTAAATTAGTTTGAACACTCTTGATCATTGATGAGGTGAGCATAAACAAGTCCGAACACCCCTGACCATTGAATTAAAAAAAAGAAGAGAAATGCTATTTGAACCTAAAAATTTGATGACCTAATGATGTGACCTCAGTGAAACAATTAGATCAATACTAAGTTTCAATATTTGATAGAACTCATTGTCAATTCAAAGATTATAGTAAATTAGAATAGCAAATTAAGTCTCAATAACATTACTTTAAAAAAAAAAAAAAAAACAGCTAGGCCATGCGGTGCATAGGACTTTGTCTTAGGTGCTTTATTTTGGCAGCAGCGTAACAAACGGCTTATTTGAATTACATTGTGTCAAAATTTAATTCATTCATGCTTAGTGTATTAATAATCGCATCTATATCTAAATTTGTATAGTATTCAAGTGAATCTATATCTAAGTTTGATCGATTAAGTAGTTTTTGAACCAAATTTATTACAAACCACGGAGAAAATACTAAATGTAGCGATTACACTATTTTATTTATTGTCACGTGGTGTCTCCAATCGAATAACAAATCAACGCAAATGGATCCAAGGTCTTCTCCTTCTAAGAAGCGTCTTCTTGCCGATCCGAAGCCGGAACAACGCTCCGTCACCGCTTCTCCGGACTCCGCCTTGTCTTCCGACTCATTATCGGATCGATTCAAGAGGAAAACCAGGGAACTCCCAAATTTATCCGATTGTCATGGATGTGGACTCCGAATCGACAACTCCAATCCCAAAGAAAGGCTACGAACGCTAGACAGCGTTTGGCGAATTGTACTTCTCTGCAAGAAATGCATTAAACTTGTCAATTCACGCCAAACATGCCCTTATTGTTTCAAGGAAATCCCGGGAAAGGAAACAGATTATTTTCAGTGCGGTGATTGCGAGCACCGAATTCACAGAGATTGTGTTGTGAAATTTGGGGGTTTCGCTCCGTGGTCCTATTGCTCGGAGTCAGAATTTTCAGTTTGTGTTGATTGTTGGGTTCCTAAATTGCTTGTAAATTCGATTAGGGTTTTTGAAAGGAGGAAGAATAATAATAATAATATTGGTTTAGAACAGGGTGATTCTAGGGTTACGGGTTCCTCTAAGGTTTTGGAGAAAAATAAAGTTGCTAGTTCGTTAGAATACATGGTAAAGGATGCAAATTGTGTGGTGAATTCGGTTAGAGTGTTTGAAAGGAGGAAGAAGAAGAATAAGATTGGTTTAGAACAGGGTGATTCTAGGGTTACAGGTTCTTCTAAGATTTTGGAGAAAAATAAAGTTGCTAGTTCAACAGAATGCGTGGTAAAGGATGCAAATTGTGTGGTGAATTCGGTTAGGGTTTTTGAAAGGAGGAAGAAGAAGAATACGATTGATTTAGACCCAGGGGATTCCAGGGTTACAGAAGGTGATTCTAGGGTTACAGAAGGTAATTCTAGGGTTTTGGAGATAAATAAAGGTGCTAAATCGTTAGAAAATGTGGTAAAGGGTGCAAGTTGTGTGTTGGAAAAGAAAATCAATGTGGCAGCAAAGGCAAAAGAGAACGCATTGAGGAAAGCTGTGACGGCAAAACGGGCGGTGGAGTTGGCTAATAATGCTTTGCATTTGATGGCCAAGAAGGACGAGAATTGGAAAAGGAGCGAATCTTTGGTGACAAGTAGTGGTAGAACTGATAATACTGAGACTAGGGTTGTGGATGATGCAGAATTGGCATTTCAGTTACATCGCGCTATGAATAGCTCACCTAGGATTTCTAGGAATTTGTGTTCAATAAATTCGAGTTGTTTGGCTGTTCCAAAGATACGGGATTGTAATAGTAATTTGGCTGGTAAATTGTTGCATTTTAGAAGTTGTGGTAGTGCTAGTGTTTCCGGGAAGCTTGAGGTGGTTACAAATAGTAAGTTTAATGAGAAACTTGATAGAATTGTTTCCGAGTGTTCAGTTTGTGACAAGGATTTTGACAGTCATTCTAATGATGATTTGGGTGAGTTAAAACCGAAGTTGAAAACATATACTAGGAAAAGTAAAAGGAGGAAGGAATGCCTAGAAAATGGTGAGATTGGTAGTCACTCTGGCGATGGTCATAGAAGGCAGTCTGAATCTCAGTCTTGCCAGAAAGAACAAAAGTCAAGCAATGAGTTGGGTCTAAATGATATTACAGTTCGATGTCTACGGAAGTTTGATGGAAATAATACTGTGCTGAAGGATGGAAAATGCAATGGAAAGCCTGACCGTTACTTGTTAAAATATAGCAAGAGGCCTACAGGCTTGAAAGAAGTTTCAAGGCATTGCACGGAGTTTCTATGTGATGATGTGTATCTTGAAAATCCTGTCCTGCTCCCGGATTTCCTGTAAATTGTTTCAAGGAATCCACAATGTGCTCTGACGTGTCATTTCAGTGCTGTGCTGTTAATATGCAAGCAGGTGCCTTTGTAACTGTTGCGTCCAAAAAATAGCCCTGAAGTATACAGGTAACAAAGGGATATCGCTTCTCTCCACTCCTTGTTATCATTGATTTGGATTTGAATTCTAATATGCTTCCAATATGGCTGGTGAAATACACAAAAATATGCAGTTATACACCTTTCTTGTATATCTGATTGAAGCCATGTGTGTTGGATTTTGGATTATTTTACTATCAAATGTTTTAAGCATGAATTGTAGTACCCTAATAATACGGATTATAAACAATTGCTTTGCTGTCATTTGAAGTACTTCGACAGTCATTGATTTGTTGCTAAGTTCATTGCCATGATTAGAATTCACATTTTTTTTGACAGGAAACAATGATATGATTAATAATATAAAATAAATTTTTTATTAGAATTCACATTGCAATAGAAAAAAATTCTGAATGTTAGTTTTCTTGATATGTTCCGCCTAAATGCCCACATAAAAACCGGTCAATCTCGGTGATATCGCTGTAACTACTCTGGTACTTGCAAGTTTTGTAGGCCCAGGGATGTTATTAACGTAAAAACAGTTGTTATGTGCTTATCCATTTACTAAATTTCTAGTTCCAATGCCATGGTGAATGCTTTCTTGCGGTTACGTTGTCAAACTACGTTTTATTTTTTGTACCAATGTTTGGATTCCTTGCCCATCTTGTTTTACCTTTATCTTCGTTAATGTAAGTTACCATTTCCTATTCAAAAAATAAAGAAAATGAGGAGGTTTGCTGACAACAACAATGCTTAATGGAATTGGGAGGAAAGGTGGATAGTTGTTGCTGGATACATTTTGCCCTTGTGGGTTTGTTGAGTAGGTATTCTGGAAAGGTGTCAGAAGGTTTTAGAAAAATTTTAGACATATGCTTGTAGTGGGGATTGTCTATTATGCTTTGGGGAGGAACTGGCCAAATTGTGATCTTTTGACATGATAGATTGTGTGTCAAAATTTCTTTTTGCATAAGTACAGCTGATACTCGTGAAATTTACCAGTTGTTCCAAATTGCACCATAGGAAAATGGTTAACATGCCGTCGAGACGATTTGGAAAGTATTATAAGAGATGGGAAAACCCATATTCCAAGGTTAAAGTAGTAAATGTAGTCATTTGGCGCAAATCTTATGTTGGACTCGCCTAGGGTATGAAAAATTCTCAGTTCTATTGCTGTTTTATCAATGTTTTCTGCTAGGGGTGGTTTGTTCTTTTTGTACTTGCGCACTGTGGTAGTGGGCTGCTTGATGGTGCTTTTACTGTTTGGGATACTAATGCATTTTTTGCCAAGTATGTGAGGCTAAGTGGGTCCATTCCAAAGAACGGTCCCATTATGGGGAGTCAAGAGTCTGGCATCTAAAAGTCGAAGGACTTGGGCCCTGAGTTTATGTCCTTCCCAATATTCCTTGGCCCCAAAGTCTTGACCTGCATATATGTGTGATATAATAGCTCTGTTTTAGAACGTGCACTCTTTTAAGGATATGCTTATGACTTATGATGCGTGACGCAGCATTGCATGACTCCCAAGGTTTAAGTGTGGTAATTATTGAGACAACCCTCTGATACAATTTACTCTAGACACAGGCAGATTTTTGTTGAGGCTAAACTTGTTCAGGTCACGAGTCAGTAAGAGAATAATTTTTGTTTTGGTATGAGACTTGGCCTATAATAGAGTGCGATATTAATGTAAGTGTTTTTCTTTGCAGAACTTCTGTCTTTCTGGACCTAATCTTTGATAAGGTTTGATATTTCTACATCAGGTGGTATCAGAGTCCAAAATTGATCTGTCCAAAACACCCATCTCACAACACTCCCACTATTACTGTACAAACATCACAATCACCATCCACCATGTCTGCAATATCATCTTCCATCCGTTGTCGTCCTCTCAGGTTGCTTGCGAGAAATTTAAACAAGAGTTTTGCTTGCAAAGAAGGAGAACAGATCTGTGTCGTTGCTTGTTAATGATGCTCCAAAGTCTGCTCACTTATGGAGGAGAGTTGAACCAGAGATTAGAGCTCTTGAACCAAGGTCATTGTCGTAGTCTTTGCAGACAGTTAGTTGTGGTTGCTGGTAAGGGTTTTTGTTGCGTCTCAAATCCAAGTGGCTAGGGCTTCCCATGCTTTTCATCATGAGGAACTGACCTGTATTCGTTATCTTAAGTTGACCAATAGCCTTTATCCCAATCAAAGCCCAGTTGACCAATAGCCAACCCATATAACATATTTAACTTGATTGGACCCAACCTGTTCACAGAGCCACCCCCCTTACCTTCTGAAATTATGCAAATACCCCCCAAACTTTTGAAAATTACATATCTTCAATTTTTTTTAAATTACAATTTTCGCCCTCAGTTTCTGAAATTATAGATTTGACACAAAAGTTTTAGAGATTACAATCTGGCCCCAAAAGTCTCTAAAATTACACATTGACTCCAGAATTTGCTTAAAATTTTCAAATCATTGCTCCAATCAAGATGGTCTCCAACGCCGAATTAAATACCAAAGTGGAGGCGTTATCCAAGTCACAAAAGGCCATGAATCATGAATTCACTTGGAAGTGTCATAGCTTTGAAAAAAAAATAAATATGGAAACTTTAAAGGCCATTCTCTTAGATAAAAGGGGCAAAGGAGTTGATAAGAATGTAGATATTGATCATCAACAAGTCATTGTTCAAGCCCACAGAGTGGTTGACGTTGACAAAGCGGTTAAGCTAGAGGTTAGAGATTTCCATGGGTTAATATTCCCGATATATTCCTTAATTGGTTGCATAGTCTTGATTGTTTCTTTAGATGGTATTGTCTGGCTAATGAGAGAAAGGTGTTTTTTGCATAATCTAAATTGAGAGGTGAAGCAAGACTCTGGTGGGTAAATTACCAGCAAACTCACTTTGATAGATTGTGAATGACATAAAGACTGCTATGAATCGTTATTTTGTTCCTTCTAGTTATAAATAATGAGCTCAACAGTTTACACTGTCAAATCAAGGAAGCTTGTCTGTCGAAGGGTATATAAGAAAGTTATTTAACTTGTTTGCTCGATTAGAATACCCTGGATTAAGAATGTGATGGTTGTCATCATGTATAGGCAAGGACTCAATTCACCAATTTCTTTGGGCTTAACACCATGGTAGATACAGTTTAGGTTGCCTATTTGAAGGAAGATTGGTTGAGAAAGAGAGCTTTTATGAGATCTTTTACGACACCTACAACTTAGAGCAAGATAACTACTATAGATGCAAGTCAAGGTAAGTCCATTAATTAACCGCAAGAGAGTTTTATTTGAATAAACCATCTCGGGCTATTGCTACTTCTTCTTCTTCTCAAGGGAGTACTAATCGTAAGACAAGATGTTTTAATTGTCATGATTTTGGTCATCTATCTTTTCAATGCCTTACAAAATTTGTTGTTATGATTGAAAAAAAAATTTACAAGGTGATTAAAGAGTTTGACGAGCCAAAATTTGAAACATAAATTATAAAACCCCTTGATATGGGCAATGATCAAAATTTCGTTTCAGTGCAATGTTTCAGTTACCTACAAAATGTTTCGACGTGCTTCGGAAATGTTTCGACCGTTTCAGAAAAAAAATAAAAAATTTAAGAATTATTTTTTCAAAACATTGGTCGAAATATACCAAAATTTCTTGAAAAATCTTGAAACATTCCAAATAATTGTGTAAATGCATTGAAATATAACTAAATATTTCAAAGCATTATGAAACACTTCGAAGTATTAGAATTTTGATTCTATTATTGATTCGTTTCAGTTTTATTGAAACAAAAATGTTTCAGATGTTTCGACCGTTTCGAAACGATATTTGGATCCTTGTATATGGGTGTGGTTAGTTTTGATGATTTGGATGATGATCATGTGATAGTTGTTATCCATCCTCTACTTATTGTTGATAAAGAAGTTGCTAATGACGAGCTTATTCATAGAGGAAAAATATTTCAGACAAGAGTTAATTGTGAAGGACATGTATACTCATTAGTTACCGACACTGGGAGTTGCACAAATGTGGTATCAGAAGAGGTTGTGAAGGAATTGAATTTGAAAGTTGAACCAGAATTGGAATCATATCATGTTATATAGATTACTAATACCAAGTTGAAAGTTGATAAGACATGTTCAGTTATGTTCACCATTGGAACCCTCAAGGAGACATTCACATAGTCATATTTGATGGGTTGCCTCTCAAGCTTTGTCACATACTTTTAGGGCCCACCTGGATATGATATCATGATGTGTAACATTTTTGGGTGTCAATACTCGTTCTTTTATTAGTGGGAAAAAAAATATACACTTGTGCAACAAATACGCATATAGTGCAATTGAAAAAAGGTCTCTCAGTGAGCTTCTCGATGGTATTATTTGTGCGTGCAAGATCCTGCACAATATAAAAAACGAGAACAGATCTCTCCCTTGGTGAACTCGAGTGAGCCAGTTGAGTGACCAACCACGCTGCTTGGAACAGCCTGCGAGGTCCGGTGGTAACCTGGAACGGCAACGGGAGACCCTGGGGGAGCGGAAGAACGATCCAGTAAGGCTGAAAGAGGTTCCTAGAACGAAAAAGAACAAGTTAGAAGGGCGCCGGAGTGTTTTTTGGCGTATCCCCTCCGACGATCTAGTCAGTCTTTGAGAAAGAGAGAGGAAGGAGAAAACACTGAGTGTGTATTGTAGTAAAGAGTTTTTTGTTGCATACCCCTCTTGCCTTTTGCAAGGAATATTTATACCTCAAAAGCTCATGATTGCTGTCAGTGTAGTCAGTAGGTGATCATTAGGTACAGGCAGTGTGCGCACTGATTCTGATGAGGAATGTCTTCTCTTCTTAACTGCTCGGGGTCCCGAGCAATCAATGCTGCGTCATCGGGATGCCGACGGTACAATGTACTCCTCTCGGGGAGGATGAAATAAATGCTCTGTATTAGGAGCATTTATTGCCTTTCATTTCCGAGCCTTACCGCATTGAATGCAGTCTCGTCAAGGGAGTGGTGCAATTAATCGTTTGTGTTCCCAAGTCGCGTGTCAGCAACG